TCGAAAAACTGGCCAGACGAACAGGAGAAAGGTTCTTTTAACGGGGCGGTTGGTCTGTGACTTTTGCATACTTTCGACGGGCCGTCGAAGAGGCCACAGAACCCAGGTCTTGGTTCCATGACAAAGCATAATGCCTTCAACTGGGCGTCTGAGCGCGAGGGTACAATTGGTGCTGAAAATGTACAGTCGGCTGAAGACAAAGCCGGGCCCCAAACTTGGAACTCGGCGTGTGAAGAGTGCAGGTGAGGAAGAGTTGAGTGAGAATGATATGAAGCAAAGTGTCAATTTAGAAGTATAGAGTAGTGAATAGGCAAAGTGGAGCATGAAATATGCAGTTTTGGTGAAGAATTGTAGATGGCGGAGTGAAATACGATTCGTGGAAATCGGCAGTCAACCGCGAATGGCCAGACCCTGGGCTTCCTAAGCGTTAAATGGCCAGTTTTGCAAGAATGCTTTCCCAGAAGGCAGAGAAGACCAGATTGGTTGCTCCACAACTCCTCTTCACTTCGAAGCGATGCAGCCACCGTTTGGGGCGCTTGAAGTGAGTGTTTCTTGAGACGACCGGTTTTTCGTGAATCAGCTGTTGAGCCCAACCGGCTCGCTTGAGGTTGAATTGGATCTGTGGATTACGGACAGATGAGACTTTGGATGGGGCAAATTTCAATTTTACCATTGCTTTCGATGATACTACTCATATTCGAGGAGAGTAGATTGCAAAAGCATCGGTGGATCCTGCATACTAACATTAGCCAACTTAAAAGATATGAATACAACTGAGTTGTAAAGATTTGATCAGTGACATGAATTTCACTTTTAAAGAAACACTTGGCTGGAAGGAGTTCGCGATGTGGTCTGACTGGAAGCCGGAGTGAAGATTGCTGCATTATGCAAACAGGTGCTCGGCAAGAATGCACAATTTATGAAATAGAGCAAAAATGTACTCTTCTCTTTAGTTTTTTTGAGACCATATCACGAACTACTTACAACCAACTTTTGCTTCGAAATGCAGCCTCAATTCACACTTTAGTCACATCAGTTTGCGTGTATGAAAAAATTCAACAATCAGGCCCACGTCGGTCTTGTGCAACATATATCCAGATGCAGTGGGGATCACAAGCTTGCCTGAGGTTGGCTAGTTCGACCGGAAGAGTATGATCCGAAAGCAGTCCCACTCGGTGCCTTGTGTGTTTCCAGTTTGCACGTGAACGAAACAAGTTGGCGCCAGCCATTTCGCGAAATGAACTCGCCGGAAAGTGGAGCAATAGTGGCGAGGAGTGAAGAGCGTTGGAGAGTGTGCCTCCAACTGTCGAGCGAGCCAGTCGTGTTGGGCGCAAGCAGTCACTCGGAACGGGATCTTCGCACCTTCCCACAGGCGTCACGGCACGCCGGGCACTTTCACTTTCGCTTTGCGGTGAGATCAGATCACGATCTGCTTCCGGACACTGGTTCGTCTGGAAATGGACATTCAAGTCGCAGTCAATGTTGACTTTCGGTTGTTTTTGTAAGTCAGTTGTAGCCGCGATGGCATGCCGACATGGTCACGTGTGGCCGCTTTCCGTCGACGAGCAGGTCTCGAAGCATGTCGAGGCGGGCGTCGATGTATGTATGTATGTATGTATGTATGTATGTATGTATG